TAAATATAATTGTATGTGTGTGTACTTGAAATCAGGGTGTTGTTCTTATGTTTGGTCTTTTCACTCTAGGCTGTCACTCTATCACTTGAGCCACACCTCTACTTTTAGCTTTTTGCTGGTTAATTGGAGATAAAGAGTCTCACAGAGTCTCCTTTCTGCCTTTCTGGGCTGGCTTTGAATCATGATCCTCAGATCTCAGCCTCCTGAGTAGCTAGGATGGCAGGTGTGAGCCACCAGCACCTGGCAAATTAAGTAAACTTTAATAAGGTAAGGTGGGTGTCTTGTTTCAATGTGCATAATCAAATTATGCCCTCTGAGCAGCTACCCAGATCCCAGGAATGTGTGTTCAAGCCAAAGTGATGGCTTGACAAGTTGTCACTGGAATGGAGCAATGTGTGCACAAAGTTTGAGAAGAATAAGGGTGATTAGAACTACAAGTGAAACTGCAGCTCACAGAGACAAGGTGCTCTGCTTCTAGTCACGTGGAGGCACTTCTGAAGTACAAAACCGAGAAAGCCTGGCTGGCTTCTTTGACTATACAAATACATTTTGATCATTCCTTTAATATTTTTATAAGCTAACTCTTGCAGCCATAAGGATTAGAGAATTCCGTTTGTTCTTGGGGTCTCTATTCCATTGTATACAGACTTTTTACACTGAGTACAGATATTTAAATTGAGAAAACAGAGAATTTAGCAACTGATGGTTATACAAACCATCAGTAGGTTATATTACATTAATGTAGAATTTCAACACTAATAAGATGGAAAGGGTTTTTTTCTGTGTAAAACAAACATTCCTAATAAAAATACAGTTTCAAAATCGATCATTTCTTTAGGTTTACTTGGAGATTTCTGTAAATTTAATTTTGTATTGAAGACCATTACATTACTGTACATTAAAACATAGGTCTCCATCCGTTTTATGACTTGAAGTGGAATAAATAACTGCAGAGTTTTAAAACAATGCAAGCAATGGGACACCAGTGGCTCATGCCTATAATCCCAGCTACTCAGGAGGCTGAGATTCCGAGGATCACAGTTGAAAGCCAACCGGGGTAAACAAATATGAGAGGTTATTATCTCCAATTAACTATCAAAAAGCTGAAGCAGAGGTGAGGTTCAAGTGGTTAGAGCAGCAGCCTTGAGGGAAAAAGCTCACTGACTTATCTGGGTGAACTTAGGCACATTCCTTACCCTGAGTTTTACTCTCCTCATCTGCAAAATGAGATAACATCTCCTCTTCCCTGGAGTTACTGGGGGCTAACTGTAAAACACCTGTACCCTGCTGGGCACAGACCTTCGTGCCATGGATTGATGCATTCTGCATCATCTATTTATCTGCAATGGTACGCTGCCCCTGTCCTGTCCCTCAGCAACACTACCAGGCCTGCCCTGGACCAGCTCCTGGACACAAAGCCCACTCCCCCTTCATTCACCAAGCAAGGAGCCTACAGGATATTTTGCTGGCCAGGCATCCTGGAATGCTTGTCACCACCAACATCTGAACACCTACAGCAGCTACAAGGCATGCAGTAAAGAATACTTGGAGTAGTAACCAAGTGTGGAGAGAGAGACGAGATGGTGCTCTCAGATGGAGGGCAACAAAACAGCTCCTCATCCCTGAGCCGATTCTGCCCTTGACCATGTCCTGGACTCATCCACGGAGCTGAGGCCAGGCCACATCCCGAACACCACAAGGTCAGAGTGCCCTGGACCAGGAGTGAGACTGAACACCACTTCCCTTTCACAGAGTCTCACAGGCCTCGGCCCAGAGCTCCAGGAAGCCCCTACAAAGGTCAGCATTGGCAGGACAGACAGCAGGAAAAGCATCATGGGGGCCCACCCGTGACCCTCACGGTCACTTCAAGCCCAGAGGATCTGCTCACCAGCCCTTCGTCCCCTGTGGCACTGCACACAGCCAGGTATAGCCCCCACTGCAGGGGCTTCTTCTAAAATGAGCCTAGCTCCCTGCCACTGTCCAAGGCTCTACTGGCCTAACATGCTGACCCGCTGGGACACAGGCTGCTCAAGTCCCAGTAAAAGCATGGGCTGAAATAACAAAATGTTGAGACAAGGATACAGGTTGACCCATGGTAACAATGAGATGTACAAGACACTATGTTGAAAATGAACTTTACAATTTTTAGGGAGAAGGAGGAGTTGGGGAGGTGGAGAGGGAAGGGATGGTAGAGGCAAAACAAAGGAGGGGGTAACAATGCTTGACAGGAAGTGCACTCATTACCTTTCTCATGTAACTGTAACCCTTCTGTATAGTATCTTTACAATAAAAAATATATATTAAAAAATGGGCTTGCCAGGCACCTATCATCCTAGTTACTCAGGAGGCTGAGATCTGAGGATCACGGTTCAAAGCCAGCCTGGTCAGGAAAGTCCGTGAGACTCAACTCCAATAAACCACAGAAAACCAGAAGTGGCACTGTGGCTCAAGTGGTAGAGCACTGGGCTTGGAGCTGAAGAGCTCAGGGACAGCACTCAGGCCCAGAGTTCAAGCCCCAGGACCAAACAAACAAACAAACATAGGCCTTTCTCCCAGCAGATGATGGCCCTTAGAGTTGGCAAAGCTGGCCACAGAAGCTTACAGCGGAAGAGCTGAGGCAGGAGGAGGTATGGGTGAGCCCCTGTGTGGCAAGCAGGAGAGGTCTTCCTAGGAAACAGAAGAGGTGAGGCTGCTGGCTACCAGGGAGAGGCTGTGAAAGGGACATCGGAGGGATCTGGGAGGGCCAGGAGGACTGGAATTGAGGAACTGTGAGCCTGGTTCTATGATCGCCTGTGAGGCTAAGGAGAGATACGGAAGGAGAGACAGGATGGTCTTGGAGTTTTGGCTCGCAGAGAGCCCATGGGGCTGGAGCTGGAGCTGCGAGTCTGAGCTCTTTACCTAATGGAAGGGATAAATGTGGCCTCCACCTCAGAACTGCTCCAAGGCTAAGCGAGCTAATGACTGCTCAATGCTCCATGCGATCGCTGACACACAGGAAGAAAGCACCCAACAGAGAATCATGGCAGGCCAGGAGAGAACGTGTATTTATCTTACTGTCATATTTTACACCTGTACTGGGAAATCATTATTCCTCATTTTACATAAGGAAAATCAAGGCTCGAAGACACTCTTATGTCACTAATATTAATTACCAAGCGCTTACCATGTGCACCATAAAATAACTTAATGCTCCAAAAAGTGGAAGAAAAGAGATATTACTATTACCTTCATTTTATAGATGACAGAAAACTGCACAGAAAGACTAAGCAACTTGCTCAAAGTCACACAGCCAGTGAGAGGCAGACACTGGATTTAAATGCAACCCTATCTGGCTTCAAAAGCCTGAATTCTAAGGCTAATTTATGTGCAAAACCCTCCATCACAGTGCAAAGCAAGCAGAAGAAACAAGTGTCCTGAGAGATGTCAGGATGCCTCCCAGTACCAGTGAAGGGTGGTGCCAGGGCCAGCAGCACCCCAGGTCCCAGGGTCCCCAAAGGAACACCAGGGCAAGCAGCACCCCCAGAAGCTGAGGTCCTCAAGGAGCACCAGGGCAAGCAGCACCCCAGGTCCCAGGGTCCCCAAAGGAGCACCAGGACAAGCAGCACCCCCAGAAGCCGGAGCCCCTCAATCAAGTACCATGATATGCTGAACTGTCCTATCTACAGCTTGGGCATGACCACAGGCAGAACAGCCCCCTCCCTCCAGAGTCCTGTCTGCCCCGGGAGAGGTGGTGGAGGGTTCAGAGGTCTCCACCGAGGCCCTGGGCTTCCTTCTTCCAGAAGAACCAGCTGCGGTCTCCCCGATGCCCACAGGCTGATGACAGATGGGCTGGCTCTGACCTCTGCACCACCTGGTGCTTTGTTCACACCTGACCTGTAGCCTTCACTAAGCACAGGGACAGGCCCCCTCCCTTCCTCCCAGCCGTGCACACGCAGCATCCGAGAATGAACCTGGAAGCCATCAGCCACTCTAGGCGTGATCTTTAAATAGGAGGGAGGGAATGCAAAACAATGCCAAGAATGAAAAGGACTTGCTGGCTCCTTTCTGACTCCAACACCAGCCTAGCGGAGGATTGGGTTGGCCCCAGGCTACAAGAGGGCCACAGCTGCTCAGCACCACTCTCCACGCAGCCGTTGCTGGAAAGCATCAGCCCCTGTACTGCACTCAGGCCTTTGGCCTTCCACAGCCTCTCCAGCTACAAACTGGACCTTATGGATCTGTGAGCAGAGGAAGAACAAAGCTCTAGGTCAGGACTTCCCTCCCTTGCCAGCTCCCCCTGAGGGCTGACGAGGGCTAGGCAGCCTTTGACCTTTGGCTCTTGCCATCAGCAGCCTCTCTCTTCAGAGACCTAGGCCTGTGCACTCTCAGGCCAACAGGCTGTTTTGTAACAGCCTTCATGGGCCTAGCTTTACAAACTCTTGGAAGGTTTTCTTGGAGAGAGCGGTTCTCTAAGCAGAGAAAGCCTGCACTTGGTTGCCTTGTGAGAAGATGCTGACAGATTCCTGCTTCCAACTCTCCAAGACTGCAGGTCTATCTAGTTCTTATTTCAAACCAAGGCTGCCCTTCTGTGCCTTCTGAGAATTTAGAATGGGCCTGTCCTGAGGCTCTGTGGTAGACTCCTGACTGGCCGCCTGCCTTCTTGGTGGAAGTTTAAGGGAGGGAAGCTGCATCTGTCCTGCTCAGGCCACCGCCCGCCATGCTTGGCCCAGTGCCTGGCACACAGCAGAGGCCCAGAAAAATCTTTGTTGACTGATTGCATGGTACACGGGGTTGACAGACTCCCCTTCGTTTGAAAAGCTCCAGATGCAAGTAGAACTGTCTCCAGGCTTATTCACAAAGCCGGGGTGAGCAAGCAGGGTTGTAGAACACCGGCAAATCCCTCCGGGTGATTCTGAACTCACTCACACACAACATGATTTTCCTGAGGAGCCCACTGCCATCAGAACCATTTCACCAAGACCGTGGGTGGCTATGAGAAAGAAACGCATTCAGAAGCCAAGTATGAAGAAGTACTTTAATAGCTCAAATTCAACGTCATCTTGCTCCCCTGTTCTGAAGAGATTCCTAAAAGAGGCGACTCTGGCCAGCTCAGAAGCCAGGGCTCACCACCCGTGGTCTCCACGCGTCCACCTCGTCGGTGCTGACTCGGAGGAAATGTCACCAGGGCCAGAACCCTTCTGGTTCCCAGGGGCCTTCCTCTCATCTACGCACCACGTCAACTGCATTAGTCAGATTAAGACGACAGCTCAGTTAAAGGAAGGGACAAATGTTGACTGTCTACGCAGGAGCGGCCCAAGCTGGCGAGGGCAAGCACGCAGCATACATAGGATACAGAGGCGGAGCTTCTGCCTGCACACCTGCAACGTTACATTTGTTTTGCCTGCAAACTATCAAGAAGGATTCTGTAGGCCAGGGCATTTCCACCGAACCGAGGAGACGGTGGCGAAGAGTCCCAGGTGTCCTCTGCCACCAGCCCAGAGTCCCCACGCATCATCCACTAGACAGTGTTCGAGGGAACATGAAGTCCAGCTCCTGCCTCCACCTAGGGGTCGATTTCTTCTGGAATCACCGTAATCATAATGTCTTCATTGCCCCTGCGGACAACCATGTTGAGGGTATTTTCCTTTTTAATGACGTCACTGACGTCATTGGCAGAGACCACCGACTGTCCATTGATGCTGATGATGACATCATTTTCCTTGAGACCGCCACTGTAACACAAAGGGAAACATATTGGTAATGTGTTCAGGCCACCCAAGTGATCGAGAGAGGTGTGGCTTAGAATCAAACTGCCCAGTACAAAGGGGTCCAGGATTCAGAGATGGTGTGGATTCAGCAAAGAGTGACTGATGCCATCGGTGGGTGGCGCTTTCTTTGGAGGTATTTTTAGGCCACATCTTCAAGTACATCCATTACAGATGTGCCTGTGGCATGTGTATGATCTTAGGACAGACCGACCCCAGATGGGGGTGCAGATACATGTGGTACAACCTGCCATGTTACTGTGACGGAGGCCAAGTTGCTTGTGATAGACACTGTGACTCAAAGAGCAAGTCTTCCAAGAGTAGTGGGCCATGTCTGTTGTGGCTGTGACTTTCCTCCTGTCTGTGACAGGGTCCAGATGTTCTCATGGACCGGCCTGGCCTAACACAGGGAAGATGCGATCTTTTTCCATAAAAGACCAGACAGGAAGTACTTTAGGCTTCATGGGATGTTTGGTCTCTGTCCTTAGCTAGTTCACTGGCACAGCAGCAGCACAAAGCCCAGCAGGGTCTGAAATCGAAGGGGCATGGCTCTGTCCCGATGACACGTGAGTGTACACAGGAAATGTCATTGCTCAGAGTGTTCTCCCGCCACAAAGTGCTCTGGTTACTTTGCGACGTTTGTTCAACCATGTGAAAATGAATTCTCACCCTCTCCATTCTCATTCTGTCAGTCATAGAAGAAGCAGGCCCAGCCAGCTAGCGCCAGCCCCAAGCGTCTCTCTAGATATTACATTAGGCCTGACGCTAGGCTGAGCCAATCTTTTGATGTTCCTTTGATGGCAGTTGTGTCATTTGCCTGAAAACAGGTGTGGCCTAACTGTTCACTGACACAGTTAAGAAGGTTCTGGAAGGAGATGTGTCCTGAGGTCATGGTGGTCACTGCTCCATCACCCCATCTCTGCCCCCTGACTTTCCACAGGGGAAAACCTGCTCTTGCTCGTCTGGTCTGATGGCTCTGAGAAGCAGAAAAGCCCTCGGTCCAGCCGAGGGGAAGACCGGGCCGGCAGAAGGGGAACACGATATCCAGCTACATTTTTCAAAGGTGAACATGAGTCCCCAGGCCAGTATAAAAAGAACATGCTCCCTCCCCTGCCCGTGACACGAGAAGCCACGTGAACACTGGCAAAAGAGAAGATACTCTCACTCACGCTTCTGCCGGGGTGTCGGGAATGACTTCGATGATATACGCCCCAGAGAGCACATCTGGGAAGTCTCGGTGGCGGTCCTTCAGCTCTTTGGCCTTGCTGCTCAGGGGGAAACGCCTTCGTGTTAATACTAGGCACCCACAGGCTTTCCTCTGCCAGCACTCAGCCCCAGCCAGATCCCGCCTCGTCTCTAATCCCGTGCAAAAATTCCTCTGAGTTCAGATTCTACTTTGTTACCACCCACCTGAGAGAGGCAAAGGACCACTTCTCAACAGTGGGGAAGTACTTCCATTGCTACTATTATTATTCCTACTATTTATTAATCAGTTAATAGTGTTAAACATCAAAAGAGCAAGACAGTCTTGATGTGTGGTTCAGTCTACAGATTCTGCTAGCTGATGTCTGGTCCCGACTGACACCTGCTAGCTGGGTTGCCTTGGGCAGTGGCTTCGCTTTTCTGCGCCTTTTTTTTTCCTTTGCAGAAAATAGAGTTAGCCATAGTGATCTATGACAGGGCCATTGTGAGGATCAGATGAGGTCATCAAGGAAGGCCCCTTCCCAGTGCCTGGCACATAGCAAGTACAGGAAGCCCGTGTGGCTGGCGATCACCCTCACCCACCCGAGCTGGCTGCCCAGCACATGCGCCTGCACCGCTGCCCACACCCTGCAGGGAAGGCCCAGGCACTTCCGAGGTCATCAGGCAGGAAGCAGAGCAGGGACTGACCCCACAGTCTCTGCTCTGTCCCTACACCTCCATCTCTCCTGGTTCCAGACAACCAGGGGGTGTCACTTTAGTCTTGGCAAATCACCTCCTAGGATGCTAAGAATGATTCTCTCTACATATGCATCAAACCGTCTCAATATTTTGACAATTGCCTTATAATTATAATTACATGAATTGTAATAATTCATGTAATAATGTATCTGTGAGTATACTCCACTCTTTACTTCCTGGACTACAACTGTCTTAGCCATGCCAGATGAGTCTGCTCTGAGCCTCACTGTCAATCCCCCTCACCCCCCTGTTTTCCCTCTAGGTCTCTGCTCTAGTCCATCATGAGCCTGGCAACCCCAGGTGGCAACTTCGACAGCTTTGGAAAACAAGCCCATCCATCATCTGTGGCTGCCATGCCAGAGGCCTGCCCTGGCATTCCTGCAGCCACCTCCCACAGCTCAGAGTGAGCGGGAGGTGCCGGGGCTCTCCTGGAATGCGGTTTCCTCAGGGGAGTGGGGAGAGGGAGACCGGAGTGAGCAGAATGAGCCGCCCCTGGGCCACTGAGGCCTGCCTTCAAAGACAAGAGCAGACACTTCTGGATCGGAGGAAGAAGAAGAAGGAAGAAAGAAGAGAAAGGGGCCCAGGCTTAGGCCTCTCTTCTTCCCCAGGGAGTGTTCGTTTTAGCAGGTGCTGAACTATCTGATGGCAGTGGGCAGTTACCTTTCAGGGGTCAGGTGATGACCTTGTGAGATTCAGAATTACTTAAGTGCCAAGCACATGCATGCATGTGTTAACCCACCTGGATGTGAGTGACATCATTCGGATACCAATGTACTTCTTCTTGGTGATGGCTTTTCCTGGTGAAAGAACAAGGGACAGGTCAGCACAGTGCGCAGGACAGGGGGTGGAGGGGGGGGACCCGGAGCAGGCAGTCCAGTGTCTCAGGGTGCAGTGTTGAGGTCATGGCTGGGCTGGCTGTGGTTCGGTCCTGGTCTACAGCCCGGCCTCCTGGGGGACCTGGGGAAAGTCCTATCCTTTCAGCTGAGGAGTGGTCAATCCTGATTCCTCACTGGTTCAGCCCGGCCTCTGATCCTTCCCCAGGCCAGCTCCACTCCCCACAGAGGCCAGAATGGGACTGCTTTGCTCTAACTCCACTGCCCACCAGCCTGGCCAGAGCCCCAGCATCTGTCTCTCCTATGGATGACTGGCAGAGCCCCTTCACTAGCCTCCATCTTCCCCACGGGCCTCTGGGGCGGCCTTTTCCAAAGACATCCACCACACCACTCACTTCCCTAATCTCGTATAGTGAAGGTGCAATCCAGGCCCTGTGTCATGGCTTCCTGCGGGCCTCCCTCCTACCACCCTGTGGAGCCACACTGCTGCTCTGTGGGCCACACAGGACCCGGCTCACTGGCTGCCCAATCTACTACTCCTGTCCGTACTGCTCACCCCACCCCTTCTGCTGGCACCTTCTCCTAGACATTTCACAGCTACCATCAGCCCCTCCGGTCACTCCCAGACATCTTCTCTGCCTCCTTTCCTTGGGCACTTGTTGCCATTGGACATTATCTTACTTATCTGATTGCTGACTGCCAGTCAGCCTCTTCCCAGAACATAAACATCACACCTGCCAGGCCCCAGGCGAAGCTGCCCACTGCCTATAAATTAGTACAATTAAAATAATAAAATAAAGGCTGGGCGCCAGTGGTCTATAATCCTAGCTGTTCAAGAACCTGAGATCTGAGGACTGTGATTCAGAGCCAGTCCAGGCAGACAAATCTGAGAGACTCTTATCTCCAATTAACCAGTAAAAAAGCCAGAACTGGAGGTGTGGCTCAAGTTAAGTGGTAGGATGCTGATCATGAACAAAAGAACTAAGTGAGAGTATAAGACTGTGAGTTCAAGCCCTAGGTGACTATCAGCACAAAAATAATGTCAAGGATGACTTGTCTGTCTCAAAGCAGACAGGTGAATTAACACTAGCAGAATAAAAGAGCAGCCAAATGGAAATGGTAATTCCCATCTGACGAGGAAAAGGGATTCAGTGTTCAATGAAGAGATAGGCAAAATAACACACTAAAGTCATCCAGGCTCATAGCTGGTACCTAGTAGATTGAGACCATGTGTAATTTCCATGACCATAGCACAAAACCTGTGGCCTAATGTCAGAGGCTTATCATACACAGATCCTTTCAATTTTTCCTAAGAGCCAGCCTGTGTGTGGCAGAATCTGCTATCTTTCCCTTCTCTGAGTCCCCAGAGGGCAGCTAAGCCTCAGGACGGAACACCTGCAAGCTTCCCAGGCTGTCTGGGTCTTGCTTACCTTTGGCCTGCCGGTCATGAGACTCAGTCAGGAACTTCTTGATCTTGTCAGACGGGATGGCAAAGGAGATGCCCGCAGTCACCTTCAGAGTGTTGATTCCAATCACCTCACCATCCTGCAAAGCAAAGTGGAAATGGCTTAGTAAATCCAAAAGGGGTACAGGAGTAAATGAAAGAAGTCTTTCAGGAAAGCTTATAGAGATGGAAATGTCAGCTATCTTACTATGATCCTTACAGGCTGCATGCATACACTGAATTGTTACACTGTACCCCATAATTTTGTACAATTCTACTTATTATTAATTTTTTTTGTCAGTCAGTGAGCTTGAACTTTGGGCCCAGGCACTGTCCCTCAGCTCTTCAGCTCAAGGCTAGCGCTCTACCACATAAGCCACAGCACCACTTCTGGTTTTCTGAGTGGTTTATTGGAGATAAGAGTTTCACGGACTTTTCTGCCCTGGCTGGCTTTGAACTGCATTCCTCAGATCTCAGCCTTCGGAGTAGCTAGGATTACAGGTGTGAGCCACTGGAGCCTGGCTCATTATAAGGAAGGGAGGGAGGAAGGGAGGGAGGGAGGGAGGGAGGGAGGGAGGGAGGAAAAGAAAGAAAGAAGGAAAGAAAGAAAGAAGGAAGGAAGGAAAGAAAGAAAGGAAGGAAGGAAAGAGAAGGAAGGAAAGAGAAAGAAAGAAAGAGAGAGAAAGAGAAAGAAAGATCGATCTGTGGCTATGTCAGAGAACAAAGAGGACTGGCAGAAGGAGATCCTGGAGTGGCAAGGGGAGGGGCATGGGGGTGGGGAGGGGCATGGGGGTGGGGAGGGGCATCGGGGGGTGGGGAGGGGCATGGGGGTGGGGAGGGGCATTGGGGGTGGGGCATCTGGAAGCTCTGCCCCAGAAGGATGGAGAGATCTGGAAGGAACTGTGATTGCATGTACAGGCAGTTTTGAAATCCGCAGTATTTGCTCCTTTCACAGGGAAATGTCCCCAGAATCTTTGAATCTCAAGATGGCTGCCACCCTTCCTGCCTCTCCCAAGTTCAGTGACCTTGGTGTGACTGCAGATAGTGAGAGAAACTACCATGGAGCCTGGGCTGAAGGGCTTCTCTGCTGGGAACAGGCAGCTCTACCCTTAGCAGCTCCCCCAGAGGGAGCAGCCCTGCAGGCCTGGGGGAGAGGGGAGGGGGGGGACTGGGCAGGGCATAGCTGAGCATTCCCATTTCCACTGCTGGGAAAGAAAAGCTGCCACAGTGGCGACTGCTCCTCCCAACAATGCTGAAAGGTTAGTACCTGATGCCCACGGACCCTCACCTAGGCTGCCACCCTCACCCTAGGCTTAACTACAGAAGGTCTCAAGGCCGTCCTCCATGAATGACCCTCCAGCTGTCCATGGCTCTGAGCTTCCATTTTATGCTTAAGTATTGAGTATTAACTAAGCAAGAGATCTTTGTGAGCGGGTTGAGTCCTCTCACTTGAGTGGCTTTTAGGAAGGATTTCTGGCCTTGGCCAAGCCTATGGCTGAGTCATGGCAGCTCCTCCTCCCCTGGCCACCCTGAGGCACTTCGCACAGCTGAGGCCTTCGGCACCAGGCTGCTCAGTTTCTGCTGGGAAGGACTGAACTTGTGTGTGTTCGCCCGTAGCCCTGAAACGCAACCACGTCCTCCAGCCTCACTCCTTCCAGAAAAATCTCAGGTTCGGTGAGTGGGTGAAAATGTGCAGAGCTCGCTTTAAGATAGTTATATCACATGCACTGGGCAAGGTCATATGTAAAAAGAAAGCAAAGCCAAACAGCCAAAATGCCGCAACATAGGAACTGAACGGCCTTACCAGGTTCACTAATGGGCCTCCGGAGTTTCCATACTGAAATCAAAGAGACAGAAAGGTTATAACCGTGATGATTTTAGGACATTTAGAAGCTGTCTGAACTACTGCACTCACCCCACAGCCATTTCCTCCTCCTGGAGTGAGGCGGGCTGTCCGCTTACTCCAGGATCCCCCGGTTCAAACCCACACAGCCCCTCTGTGGGACCCCGCCTCACCGCACGATGGAGTCCCCCACGGCTTGCTCTAGCTCCAGAACTTCACATGCACTGACTATAAAATTTTGGAATAACACCGACAAGAGGTAGCAAGGATTGGGTTTCTTATGCATTAGACAGATGTGAGGAGAAAAGCTTGCTTTCCACAAACACTGATCCTACAGGGAGAAAGCTGAAATGGAAAATCTGTGATGATGGAAAGATTCCATGGTTGGATCGGCACGGAGCACTCATGGGAGGAGTCACATGGAGTGGTGGAGGCTTGGTGCTCAGACTGGGACCGAGAACGGCGGTCACACGGAGCCCCCGCTTCCTGCGGGCGATGGCGCCTGTGTAAAGGGAGCCCTGACCCAGTGGGCAGGCCAGGAGCGCCTCCCAGGGCAGCCTCTTGGCAAACCCGAGGTGTTAGCTGCGGAAGTGGTGGTGATTGCTGCCTGAGTGCTGCCAAGCCTGCCTCCTCTGCTTCAGGGGTTCAAAGGGAACCTTAGACAACACTGTGAAGATCGTGATTTGGCCCCCATCTCTAGGACCAGCTTTCCTGGCATAACTCTGCCAGCGGTGGGGAGGGGTTGAGGAGGGGACTCACGTTGATGATGGCATCTGTCTGGATGTAGTCCATGTCTGAATTCCGGAGCCCAAGCTCTTTGCCGCCTCGCTGCGTGGTGCTCACGATCCCCGTGGTGACTGTGTTTTGGAGGGAAAAGGGGCTTCCGATGGCAACTACAAACTCTCCCGGCCGCAGCTCTGAGGAGCGGCCCAGCAGCAGGACGGGCAGCTTTCCCTGCAAAGACAAGGGATGTGGTGGCATTTGTTCAGTGTGGACACAGTGGAAGACCACACAGTGACTGGACACTTGGAAACACCAAGCCTGGAGAACTGAGCTCAGCTTGGCACCCTTTGCTGGGGCTGGGAAATCCACTATAATCCATATACCATACATGGAAGCCAGCTAACAGGGGGACCAGGCACCAAGGCATGCCAGGAAAGTGACGGAAGCCATTTTGGAGTTTCTAATTATCATGGAGCATAAACTTGCTCAGAGGAGAGGACCGAGGAGGACACTGGGAACTGTGGATCGAGGCCATTGCCTAGAGTGGTCTTACAGAAGGCCTAAGGCAGGATGCTGAGTCCCCACCGGCCTGGGGAGTCGTTGGAACCTGCCTCACTTCCCACGCGCACACCTTCCCTGGTTCTGGGACGTGAGGAGCTCTGTGGGCAGGGTTTCACGCCAGCTTCCTCTGTCTCCCTGTACTAAGCACATGGCAGAGCTGGGCAGGCAAAGGGCCGGAGAGAGGGGGCAGCAGCCTCCAGGGCTGGACACCATGCCTGAGCAGTGCTGGCTCTCACATCCTGAGAAGATGTCCATGACCTGTTCACCACCTCTGCATGCCTGAGCACTGTTCAGAACAAGATGGAACCATGGAACCCGCTCCAGAGTTGTTCCAGTTGAAGGGGAGAAGAGACCTGGAGACTCCCAGTCCATCACGAGGCCTTCGGGCCCTGCTCCCTTCTTCCCACCCATAGCCCAGCAACCTCCTGAGTACTTCAGCTTTGCTCACTGAGTGAGTCCAACGTTTACCAGGCACAGGAAGCCAAGAGCCGGCCCAGACCTCAGGCTACGGCAACTCAGGAGGCCTCATGTCGGACCACCTTGGAAAAGGAGGCAAAGGGGCAGAGCAGGGATGGGGGAGGGGTGAGTGGGAAGCAGTCCTCACTTCAGCCCCAACTCTGCCAAGAGCAGTGCAGACCACACCGGAGAGCTGAGGTGGTCACTGGGCTCGTGACACAGATAAGGATAGAGAGCTTCCAGGTTAGGGTTATGGGGACATGGGGTAGGGGCTCACCCCTGAGAATGAGAGCCACAACCCAACTCTCAGCCACAATACCACCACCACCACCCCTCATCCTCCACGTACTTCAGGAACAGGAATTGTCCCGGCTGCCGGCTAAGAAGTCATGTGAGGACTGTGGAGAAGAATCAGGACCTCCCTGACTGTACGTTTGTGAGGATGAGGAGGAGCACCCCTCAGCACACAGACACCAAGCCTCCCCACAGAGCCTGGGCCAGGCTGCTGGAACTGAGCTCCAGCCTGAGCTTCTAACCAGTCAGGCCCCGCCCACCCGTCTCCCTGCTCTATTTTGAGAACCAGGTCCCTTAAGAGTCTGAGCAGCTCTCAGAACGCAGTCAGGCTGGTGTGAGCACCAGCTGAGTCCTGGGTAGCGTACCCAGTGTGTGGTCCAAACAAACTCAATGGGGGTGGTGTTTCTCCATCCATTGTGCTGTCCAAGTCATCGCATGCCACCTTGTAAGGCACTGTCCATGAACCTTCCCCTTTGGGGTCATCTGAGGCTAAAGCCTGTGGCATTCCCTACATAGCCCCATACTCCATGCAGAAAGCTCAGCCTAGCGTGTTTACCCTGGGCCTGGGCCAGCTGTCCCTGCCAAGAATGACCTCAGCCATCACCACGGGTGGGTGGGAGACCTGCGGCTGGTGCTCACGGCCACTCTGGGGAGGTCTGTCTGTGACAGTGCCATTCCTTTGACTGGCTGGAGGTCCTATCTTTTTCAGGGCTGGCCTTGAGAGTCAGACCAAGGGATGGGGCAAAGCATCTACCATAGATCACCCTGGCAGCCAAGGAAGTGGAGTGGTAAGCAGAAGTCACATTCAGACTTGGGCCCAGCCGAGCCTTGGCCACAAAGGAGAGACCATATCTGAAGGTTTGAGGTAGGACTTGCTGTGGATAATTTAATCATTATTTAGACTGTTCCCTTTCCAGCTCACTGCCCCTCCCCCACCTCCTAGGAAGGGAGCCAGACATGAGCCCCATGTCTCAGAGGCCTTAGATGGCAGAGACCTAAAGATAACTCTGTCCTGAAATTCTGTTCCAAAGTCTGACTCAGGCCCAGAGGCAAAGCTGTGAAGACAGTGGGAGAGAGATGTCCACAAAGGCAAGAGATGGAGGCCTGGGTGGTATCTGCTGCCCCGGGATAGCCAGGCTTCCGTGGGACACTTCTCATTGCCACCACAGGTCCAGGGCGCTCTGTGGACAAGCCTGGCCCAAGCACAGTGAAGTCACGGATGACCGCATGGGCTTAGACAAGGTGGAGAGTGCTGATGAGAACGCCGACTCCGAGTGTCCCCAGGAAGCAGGCCTCACTGGGGCCCTCGGGGAGTATGGCCACCCGTCACACACGCTCTGGTGAGCAGCACCGCCCGTCATGTTCCCCTAACTTGTTTGTTAATTCACTCAGACACGTCATAGATTGTGAAAGGTAATCGCAAGACAGAACTAAGCGAGGAAACCTCTGGGATGGGGCGCAGAGGGGTGACTTCTCATGCAAACCTGGGCCTAGTGGAAAGATAGGAACCTGTTGCCCAAAGACAACAAAGTCCTTTCATAGCGACCTAGGCACTCAGGGCACAGTTTTCTCCATTTTACAGATGAGGAAACAGAGGTTCCAAGATGGAAAGATTTCTCCCAACTGACAAGCAGCCTGGCTAAGTAAAAGAACAGCCCCCCGCCTATCTCCTCCCCCTTCTCCCCCCCTTCCCCGCCGTCTTGGACCTGCATCCCATCCCATAATGCAGAAGCCTTGACTCCTGGACTCTAATTATAGACAGAAATCCCTGCGAAGGAGTGAGGTGGTGCCAAGATGTCGAGATGTCGGCCAGGCCAGATTTACAGCTCTCCGTGAAGTCAAGTGCCTTTGGGGCGCTGTTGGGCCCCTGCTCCCCACAGGTGTGAGCTGGCTACACCAGCCCCAGGCTCTTCAGCCTGTTCAGATCCAAGTGGGTCTCATTCTCAGCCGCCATCCTCAGGCCAAGGCCGTCTGCTCGGCAGCTACAGCTCCGCTGGCCAAATTCCTGCTCAGTAATTGAGCTTTTAACTCCACTGCTGTCTAGACATATGTACCACAGGGGTGGGGAAGACATGGGGAAGATAAAACGCACACATGGCTGCAAGGCACAGCCACGTCCCAACCCGATCTGCAGTGCGGCCTTACGCGCTGAGGTCCACTCGCATCCTGCCCGTGACACCCGGCCTAACGCCATGCCCTGCTCTACCCTGCATCCGTCTGCAAGCTGCTCCCCACGCCACCCACATCAAAGCCGTCTCCAGGATCCCAGCAGCAGACACTCTGTCTGAGACTCCCTTTGAAGCCATACCAGCCACAGGCCATCTCGAAAACGAAGACGCCAGCCCCTCTTCCTGACAAACACTTCACACATCTCCCCATCTTGCTGGAGCCTCACAGCTCGCCTAAGAAGTAAACAGGGCAAAAGTCAATCCTCTTGACAGCTGGGAAGGCCCTGGCAGGGGTAAAAAAAGGCCTACTGGTCCCATTGCTCATGTCACTCTCCCACTGGGTGGAAGGCTAGCAAGTCAGACTCATACAAACTGTGAGGCAGAAGAGGAGCTCTGAGGCTCCATACTACAGAGTAGAAGGAGACCTTGGATCCCACCGGGAGGGCCAACAGCTCTTGCTTGGCCAAACTCTCCACAGACAAGAGACCTTCAACAGTAACTCCTTCACTATTGGTTGTCACGGCCCTACTCATAAACTGGTGGAAACCAGGAACTTGGAATTCCAGCAGAAAAGAGGTGTCTAGAAGGTAAGCGATTACCCCAGCAGCAGGAGACCCCATGATACTAACTGGTGTCATCAAACTCAGTAAAAGCAGCTGGGAGAAACTGAGATCTGCTACTACCCAAGCTGGCATACAGCTTCCCGGGGAGCTGAGTCAGGTGATCGCCACATCATCTCAGCTTTGACAATTAGGGTTCTTTCCAGAACAACTGGCTGTTTCCCAAAATCTATGAGCTGACAATAGTGTAATGGGTAAGATCAAAAAGGCACGGGGGATGGGGAGCCTTAATAAATCCCTTTGCATACAACCCCTCATGGGGTCAGATGACTCCCAACAAAGCAGAGAAAAAGTGGTGTCTGGAATTCTCCAGATAGTAGTTGGCTGGTCACTGCCGAGAGAAACACAAAAAGCCACACGCCATCACTAGCTGTGCTTCAGCTAACAGCTCATTTTGTTGCAACCTCATTTTTGGATGCAATAAAAACAGACCAATAGAGCCAAAATTAAGGAAAAACTGGCAACTTGTTTTTAATCTAATGAGCCAAGTCAGTCGCTTCTTTGTCTCCTTTGAAAGGTACAAAGTACTCCTCAGTTACAAATATATATATATTTTTTTTTTCACTGCTGAATCTGCAGAATCTACTGTATCTGCCAGCTGCCCAGCACACACGTGTTTAATAGCTGAGGCTTCCAGGCTGGCCCCGTGTTGGCTGAAGTTTGCTTCAAAGGCTTATGTTGCAGCCACTGGCTGCAACTCAACTTGGTGATTCAATGTGCCTTCTGGAAACAGTTATGCTAACCTTTCATTTTCCTTTAAAAAAATGCAGTGGAAGAAATGGTGTGCCCCCCAGACCCACCATGGAACCCATGTACCTCCTACGAAAACCAGACTGGAGGTGGAAGAATCCCTGGGGGCACGCCAGCCTCTAAGGACTCCCTTGAGTGGAGAGAGTGCTCTAGCCTGGCTAAGGAGGGATGGAGAACACACACGCGTGAGGGCAGCGGACAGGTGGAGGGAGACCATGGTCAGATGAATCAATGCTTTGCTGACATCCAGTTATAGCATCCATCTATAGGACCCAAGTGCAAAATAAAATAAAACTTTTTTTTTTCCTTCTACACTAAGCCTATCCTGATTTTTTTTTTTTTTTTGCTAGTGTTGTCATAGTCCTTTGAGAATGAAGATTGT